GTGCTTGATTGAGCCAATGCACAGTGTATTTTGGATGGAAAATTCATTTGTGTGTTGTGATGGGAAAAAAAATTATAATAAAAAATTATTAAAAAAAAGGAGAGAAGCAAAGGAGAGAAGAGGATAGAGAAAGATAGCAAGTGAACAATAGAGAGGCAGGATGTTAGGGAGAAACAGATATGGTTTATTATCTGTTGATGATGACATGTATAGTATTCTCAACTGGACTGGTCTGGGAAGTATTTCATGATGGGTGAAGTCTTTTAACAAGCAAAATGAGAAATAGCAATTGACTGTTTTAAAAAATTATAATAATAATAATTATTGGGAAAAGCATGGAAAAGACATTGAATGATAAAGCGGGGAGGTTGATGTCTCTGTATTGACTGACATGCATGGCATTCCCTTTTGAAAAAGCAATGGAAGTCAATGTAAAGTTATATGTAATCCAATGTAAAATAAAGAAGATTATGATGATAATAAAAAAAAAAAGTCAAAGGCTGAGAATAGAGAGAGGTGCGGACTCTGAAGGCACTACTGAATCCCACAACACTAGCTAAACGGGGGCGTGGCGATAGCCCAAGGCGTTGTAAGAGTGGGACAGGCAGTCAGCAGCCCAGCTCCACTCCTGCACCAGCCGAGCACGCCTGGCTCTCTAAGAGGGCCTGGTTAAGGCCCCCAGCCTGCTGTGAACACACCATTAGGACAGAGAGGGAGTTAGACTACTGGTGTTAGGATTGTGCAGCACAGTGAAGACCCCCCTCCCCTGTCCCCCCCCACCACCAAGCCTGCTGGGCACACTCACTGGGGGAAGGCACACATTGATCGCACTGGAGGACTGGCTAGGCCACCGCTGGAAGCCCCCATCTGCGGCCGCGCTCACCTTGCACTTGAAGCCGGCGGCGGGCGGCAGGAGCTCTCGCAGCAGGACCTTGGCCACCTCGCGGCTGGCCTCCTCGCTCACAAAGTGCAGGTTAAGCACCTCGTGCGCCTCGAACTTGGCGAGGCGCAGTAGCGAGCGCAACGCGACGCGCGCCTTGGCCTGCAGCGCGGCGTTGTGCTCCGCCTTGGTGAACATCATCAGCAGGTGGTAATCCACCGGCCCAGCCCCGCCGACCTCTAGGCTCTTGGCCTTGGCGCCAGGAGCAGGCGCCACGGAGCCCCGCGCCAGTTCCGGCGAGGGCGGCGAGGGCGCGGCGGGGACTCCAGCGCGGGCCTCCTTCAGCCTCTTGGTGGCGCTGGAGAAGGTCTCCCGGCCCGAGCCCAGGTAGTAGAACGCACAGACAGCAAGCGCCGCGGCGAGCAGCAGCGCGCAGTAGTGCGAACGCACAGCGCCCAGGCGGGCCATGGCGCGAGCGCATGGGTGCCCGCTTCGGAGGAGGCCCATGCGCCTCGACCCACTGGCCAAGCAGCCGGGGAGAGTGCGAGTAGCCGGCAAACCAACCCGCTCAGGAGCCCCGGCTGCAGGCGGCGGCCATGGCGGGGGCGGGGCCGTGCTTCCCAGAGCCAATCGCGGGCGCGGAGAGGCGGAGCCAGGGCGTGCTCTGCCGCCGCTGGGTCCTAGGTGCAGTGGGATTGGGCTCGGGCTAAACTGTGCCTGGATTCCAGTGACTCGCGTGGCCGGGCGGGTGGAGGACCCAGGCGTAGAGGAGGCCCGCCAGCTGTGCAGTCTATGAGAGCTGGAGGCTGGATTTGGAAGCCAAGCCTTGGGGAAAAAATTGAGGCGCCCCAACGCTGGACTTTTGGTGAGCAAAAGAGGGAAAGCATTTATCTACCTCCCTCCCCTTATTCCTTGGAGGCGCTAAATCCTCTTTCTTCACTCCTTGGAGACTGGCTGGACCTAGAGAATTTAATCTAGCAAGCTCTTTCCAATCTTTCCCTGTTTGCGCTAAGGATATGACACCTAAGGTGGAAATCGCCTCCCCACTCTACGCGCAGCTCTCAAACAAAGGACATCTAAAGGATGTGGCCAGGAGGGGGATCCCGCTGTCCAAAACCTGGTGGCCATTAAGAGCGCCCCTGATAGCAACCCCCCCGGGATTGTGATGTTGATTTTTTTAACACACTTTTTTATAAAGAATAATAATATGTACCAGTTAGTTTTGTCATTAAAAAAATAATTGAGAGGGCGAGCGTGCGAGAAAACACGCCTCCTCCCCCTATGTAGCGTGCTCCTGCAGAAGTCTCTTCACCTCTCTCCTGTCGGATTTGGGGCACACATGCGCATGTGCCTGGAGGGGTTTCCAAGTCCCTGGTCTGGGACTCAGCAGTGGGCCATTTGCCTCACCAGCCACAGCCAACTGGCAAATTCTTAACTGAAGCAGGCTGAGGTCAGTCTGTGGCAGCTCTGACCCTAGACGGTTGGACACTGCCACTTAGATCAAAAACTCATTAAAGTCACTCTTCTATGAACTGATGGCACACAGATAGTTTTGAAGTAAACACGTTCCGATGATTTGAGTGAGAGGTGGAGGTGGAAATGCATGGGCAAATGCACAGATGGCTCTCCCCAGTGCTTTGTGGCAGGCCACTACTAAAAGGTGTTGTGGAGCCCACGCCAGAAACGTAGTTCAGCTCATTTTAATTCTTGTTCTTTTCCATTGGAGCAACACTTTTCTAAAAAACATTGGACTTCTGAAATAGGTTCAATACATACTTACCTTGAAAAAAAAAAATCTGATGCCCACATTTGAGGTAATCCTTCATTTGATCCTCACCAAGGCGCAAGTATTTTACAATCGAGGAAACTCAGATTTAGAGAATTAGTGAACTCCAGTTGGCACTTAGTAAGTAATGGAGCCAGGATCCCAAACCGTGTCTTACTACATCACAGCACAAGTGTTCAGCCAAAATGAGCTCTGAAAGCAGCAGTGGAAACTGAGTACCTTCAGCACAGGACACTGATGGAGAGCAAGCCCTGGAGCAGACAATGCAGGCCAGAAGGACAGACAGCTCTACCACTGCATGCTCTTAGACTGTAGGTAAGTTACTCACGCTGAACTTCAATTACACCCATAAATTTGGGTGAATACTAGCATCTATGCCTCATAGGGCTATGAGACAGTAAAGAGCAATTAGAACAGGGCTAACAGTCAACAATAAATGTAGGGTGGCCTTGGGTCTAGTGGTTAAGGGAGTGGATCTTGCATGACCAACCATACTATTCAACTCCCAGCCTCAGCTGCTTGAAAAATATGCTGGGCACATGAACACCCAAAGTACCAACAGAATGAAGAAATGGAGGAGAAAGGATTATGGCATGACCACACCCCTGGTCTTATTTCCAAGTTGTAGCTTATGATTATTCCCAGTTCTTTGTCCATAAAGAAAAATTTGGGACCAGCAGATGGCATAATGATTAAGTTGCTGGGCTCCCATGTAGTCTACCGTGGTTCAGGTCCCAGACCCAGCAGTTTAAAACCCCGCCGGGTGCCGGGGTCCAGCCTCAGCGGGGGTGGGTTGACTCGACGGAGGTGGCGCAGGTGAACAGAAACAAAAAATTAGACTGAGACTTCATTGCTCCTTAGCATGTTCTCAGCCGGCCACAGCCAGAGCAGAACTCCAGGCTATAGCCCCGTGGCTATTAAGACATGCGTATTTATTGAGGGATGTTCAGGAAGTAAAGGGGGTGAGGGGTAGTATGGAGACCCACCTACATCAAAGGAACAATTGCGGAACTACACTAGACCCACCTTTAATCCAATCCTGAATAAAACTTTTGTACCTTATTGTTAAAAACTTTATGAGCTAATAATTAAAACACGTAGTCCCTCTCCCACTTACTTGCATGTAACACATTTTCAATAAAAACGCACGATAATTCCTAGCAGTTGTCACTCCTCAGAAAGTGATCTTTGAGGGGTGTCCGGCAAAGGACGTGCATAAAAAGGCACCGAGGCCTTAGTCTTCTGTTCACCTTCGCCGCCTCCATCCAGTCAACCCACCCCCACCGAGGCTGGACCCCAGCAGCCAAGCACATGCGCTTGCATGCTCAAAATCCTGAGAAGAGAATGGAGAAGGGATTATGGTGTGGCCATACTGCCTGGAGGGTGATTTCTCACTTTTTGTCTCTCCAGCAAGTACACACACCCTATGGCAAAAATCTCTCTTAAAAATAAAATAAAATAGTCTTAGAGCCAGCAGGTGGCATGGTGGTTAAAGGCACTAGACTCCGTGGCTGACCACAGTTCAAGTCCTGGACCTGGTGGCTTGCTTTCTCGCTTGCTGTGTGTCTTGATCTGGTCAAATTTTTAAAATAACAATAATGATAAATAAATAATTATTTGAAAAGAAAATGAAGTCTTTCAGCTTCCTGAAGTATACTGCTGACTGAAAATTAAAACAGTGAATTCAAGGTAGCCAGTCATTTATTCAATAGGTATCAAGTGCAGTAGGCACTTGATATCTACATAACAGTACCTGGGAATGCAGCAGTGACAAAACAAAAATCCTGCTCACATAGAGCATCCATTCTAGGAGAGAAAGACAACAGAACAACTGTCAGACGGTGATGTGTACTATTTTCTTAGCCTAAAATATTAGGTCATTGGGAAAGTCATGACTTTCCGAAGACCCAAGAGATAAATCAGGGTGTATCCTAACATCACTAAGTCAATAAAGAACTCTGGTAAGCACAACCACCCTTCAGATGTCATTTTATCTTTGGCCAAGTTCTCTGATTTCTGACCAGATGAGGTAATTTCTACACCTGTAAATTGGAGAGATGATCAGACCTCTCCTTCTGCTTCAGTCTTTGGCTTATGTGTCACTACCTGCATGCATGAGCTCTAAATACACCCCCCCCCTTCAGTGTCTGGACCTGGCAACAGCCTCAGCAATGCTATGAGGACCGCCTATACTTACTACACTAGGCCCATCTTTCTTCACTGCAAGATGCGAGACTCCAAGGGACCAGACATGGAGCGTGTTTTGGCAAGATAACCCCAGTGCCTGACACACTGAGTGAACCTCAAAAACACTCACCCACTGAACCAGCATTTTTACGATTTTTTTATTATTTCTTTCATGAGAAAAAAAATGAGCACCCTCAACAGCATCTCACACCTTGATCGTTGCCACCCTTCCCAGCCAGCTAGAACACAAGCATGCTCACGCCCAGCAGTTTAGGTCAGTTTGGGCGCTGAACCCTGATATGGTTCCAGCATTACAGAGCATTGCACTGCTGCTATACCACCATGGCTGGGCCACTGTTTTCACTTCTAGGGATTCATCCTAAGGAAGTAATTAAAATGTACCGAGACATTTACCCGTAAGGACGAGGGAAAGCTAGGTTTATAAAGGGGAAAAAAAGAGAATCAGCAGTTAGCATAATGGTTATGTCGCTGGATTCTCACGTAGTCGACCGTGGTTCACATCCCGGAGCCGGTGGCTTAGACTCACACCGGGCGCGTGTGCGTGCATGCCCAAGATCCCGAGAGGAGCGAGGAGGAGAAGGGATTGCGGCGTGACCATCCCCCCTGGGGGGTGATTTCTCGCTTTCTGTCTCTACATCTCTCTCTGTCTG